CTAGCCGGCTCACATTCGCACACACCTGACTCAGCCTCTGCAGAGATGCTGCCAAATAGGGACTCCACTGATTTACCCAAGCTCTGATGTTTGTGACATTTAAGGGGTGCAACACTGGATCAGTCCACCACCAAAACAAGTTGAAGGTGTTCAGTTGCGGTTTCGATTTAGTTCAGTAGTTTCAGTCATGTTACGGTAATATTAATTTCAATACAGATGATTCAAACCTGGGGTGTGTAAAGTTCAGTTGAGAATCAGAGGTGAAATACCTCTGTGGTTATTACTGCACAATCCTACATGTGTCTACTCAGAAGTTAAGTCCCACAGAGTTTGGCTGGATATGCATCATATATTAAAAGCACACAGACACAGACACACACACAGAGAAAGAGTTTATCCCTTACAGAGCTAAAATTACAGCATCCTTATCAAACTACAGTTCCAGTCATTATTATTATTAACTGCGGGGGAGAATGCTTTAAATGTGCTCCCAGGTAAGTGGGTGCAGGATTGCAGTCTTTGCCACTGTGCAATACCAATTCATTGGACCAATGTATAAATATTCCCTGTTGCTCTTTTCCCTGCACTACAGGATCAGTCTTTTATTAATGACTCTCTCAGTGCAGTCTTTCCAATACTAGCTGATGAATGAAGGAAAATTGCACAAACTGCGCCAATGCTAAAAAGAAAGGCAGATAGACTTACTTAGGTTTAGCTCACAGATTAGAATAAGCCCCGTGTCACATGAGCCTGAATGTTATGACAGGCTTTTTGGTGGTATGTCATATCTTTACCCAACTCTATTTTCTGTATCAGCATCACCACAAATACCCCTCAGGACTATCCCTATCATTAGGCGGAGTCAGGCCGCTGGTTTTAGATGTCATAAAAGGGCAGCAAATTCTATTCCATTCATAGTTGTTGCATTCTTACTCGCATGGTTCTTGTGCCAAACTCGGGTGCTGTGCTACTTGACTGACAAGGAATTTGCCTCAGGCAGCAAAATGTCTCAGGCATTTTGATACATTTTGTTTCGCTTTTAAGCACCTTATTCTGTATTCACTGAGAAATCTGGCATTGTTCTAGGGCAGGGGTAGGCAACCTAAGGCCCGTGGGCCGGATGCGGCCCAATCACCTTCTAAATCTGGCCCGTGGACGTGTTTTTGCATGAGTAGAATATGTTCTTTTATTTAAAATGCATCTCTGGGTTATTTGTGGGGCCTGCCTGGTGTTTTTACATGAGTAGAATGTGTGCTTTTATTTAAAATACATCTCTGGGTTATTTGTGGGGCATAGGAATTCATTTATTCCCCCCCCCCCCAAAAAATATAGTCTGGCCCACCACATGGTCTGAGGGACGGTGGACCGGCCCACAGCTGAAAAAGGTTGCTGACCCCTGTTCTAGGGTCATTTCAACCATTCCCTTTATTTCCTCTAATCTGAAGTACAAAGCACATATCATCCCAAATTGTTTTCTGCTGTGAGACTGACGAACTCGCACCTGGTGCTCATGCATCTCACTTCAGGGAGATTCTTGTCTTCTGCCTCTGGGCAGAGTATATACCAGAAGTGCAAGAAGTGTTGAGTTCCTTCACATCCCCCCACCATCTGCAGAAGATTCATATGGAATAAGTTATTCATTCATTCATTCATTCCCAGTGGAGTCTTTTTTTCGGCTCAACAGTCGCATTTCCTTGTGGGCCACAGGCCACCACCTTTGTACAGTGGAATATATTCCATCAAAACACAACAGCCAGCCGTTTCTACACCAGTGGAAGGAGCAGAGATGGATGCCAGGGAAAAGACAAGCAGGTTGTCAGAGGAGAACTCAGCCCCGGTGAAACCAGATAGCCCAAGCTGGACACCACCAGATGGAGAGGCACTTCTGGTGCCTGCCTTTGTTAGCAAGGAGGCCTCCCTCCCAGAGAGGCATCTGGGGAACAGTCTGGCTTCAAGCCATCTATACTTCCAATGACGTTATGAAAACCACACCAGCCACAAACAAACTTTGCAGGGCATCCTCTACAAGAGGAGTAGCTGCTTAATGGCCCAGTCCAGAGGTTTGGGATGTAAAACCTGTGATTAGTGGTGCCCACCCTACTCTTCCAAAGGAGAGTTCATGGGGTGTGCCAGCATCTTAGCTATACCAAGTATTGCTATTACCCTGGCTTGCATCACCGACTTGTAACCTGCAGTCCCGCACTGGAATGCTGTAGTGATTTGCTCAATAAAGCTTTCAAAGCTGCTAGACGTGGTAACAAGTCCAGTTTCAAGCTGGGTGAGGAGAGCCAGGACACTCTGCCAGAACTGGTCCATGGCACCTTCCTGTCCAAGATCAAACGGTGCCACCTCTCAGTCACAGCCCAACTCACGTTGCCCCATTCAGACACACAATCCTGCCTTCATCTGTTCCCCTCTCCTCCCACCTCACCTAGATGCCTTCCTGTACGGCATGTGCAGTTCTGCACACTGCCAGGGGGCATTCAACCTACACAGGACTTGACTGGTGGGAGGTAGGATGAAGGCATCGCCTGTCACAGAAAATTGCTGATGTGTTAACCAAACTAAACACCAATGACAACAGGTTATCAGGTAGATGATACTGAAGAAGCATTTTCTGATGCTATATTGTACAGAAGTGTGCTAGGCAAACTAAACTTCATTGCCAGATGTTCAAGACCTATCCCTCCTTGGATTTTCACACACATCCTCTCAGAGCTTTGCCACCGGTCCCTCTCTGCCCCAGAGGCAGGGGAGACCAGCAGCAGATCTGGGCAGCAGAAAAGCCTTGTTGCTGCTTGCGGGGCACTGCCTGAGGCGGCTGCCACATCACACTTAATGGGCAGGCCAGCTTGGGCCTGCAGCTGATGGGGGTAGGCATCCAATGACCTGTGGAAGGCCACAGGTTCCCCATCTCTGGGTTGACCCAATTTTATGGGCTTTCCCCTTGACCAAGATACCCCTGGTTCATTAGCTCAAACTGCCTTTTGAAATACTGGAGGGCATCACAGAGCCTTTTCAGACCTTCCTCCAGAGGAAGCCGGAGGGTTTCACTGTTCACAGATTGATTAATAACTGCAGCTTCTGCTTGTAGCTGCGTGCATCTCCTCCTGCCGGCGATCATTGTGTAAGGCTGCAGCAAAACATTCTGCCAAATGTTTGTTCGAAAATGCTACGTTCTGTCCTAAAGTGAGAGATATTGGCAACAGGCGAGAGACATCATCATTACAGGAGACAGAAAAGAACCTTTTTCTCCAACGAGCCTTCCGAATGCGTTTTCAGCCAGCAAAGCAAAGCTGACTGTTATAACAGTTAATGCAAAGGTTGGCTGCAAGGCTGAAGTCACTTACTTGCAGGAGTAGTAGCAACATTGAAATTGTAGGAACCTCAAAGTTTGCTGGCAGGAAGAAGAAAAATACATCACCACCTCTCCAGTTTCACACTTTAGTTATTAGGGTTGCAAGCTTTATCCATCGGTTGGCCAGAGCATGGTGCTGATAGCACCAAGGTTGCAGGTTCGATCCCCGTAAGGGATAGCTGCATATTCTTGCATTGCAGCGGGTTCGACTAGATGATCCTCAGGGTCCCTTCCAACTCTTTGATTCTATGGCTCTATCTAAAGCTTTACTTGATTAATCACTTTTATCAGTGGGACTGAAATTTCCAAGCACACTTGTTTATATTTTGGTTGGAGTGTGTTAACATCACGAATGATTCAGAATGGTATGTTAAAACCAACCTTCTATCAACTGACCACCTAGTAATCAAAAGTTGTTCCAAAAAGGCACCTGAAACAGTTTTTATAATGACACATAAATACATTTTGATTTAAGGATTAACTGACGAAAAGGCAATTGACTGGTATACGGGGGGAAATTAATCACACACAACCCTAGTAATTATCCTTATGTGTCCTAAACATCGAAGAGTCTTATGGCACCTTAAAGACTCACAACTTTTAAAAAATGACATATGCTTTTTATTCAGGTCCATGAAGCATCCTCCTTAGTTGTGAGTACAGAGGACAGGGGTGGAACTGTAAGCAGTGAGGTCAGAGGGAAATGAAATGCAAAAAGTATAGACAGTGAGAATTCAATTAGAGTTTGAAGGGTGAGGAGCACAGTGAATGTTAAGAACAGAATGAATGTTAAGTTGATTGTGCAACCACACCTATCCACTGCTCTTGCAAAGGGTACGTGAGCTTTCTTTGCATAAATGCTAGCTCTAATTTAATTGCCACTTTCTGTATTTTTTGCATTTCATTTCTCTCTGACCTTACTGCTTACAGTCCACCTTCCAGATATATATACTTGGAACTTAAGATTATTTATATATACAGAGGCAAATTTAGAAATAATTCCTCAAATTTAAATAGAAATAGTTTTTTAAGTTGGACTTAGACCAGGAAGGCTTTCAAACAGAAGACACCTTAAAACAAAGGAATGGCATCTAAAAATTGGGACACTTGGCAACCCATCAATGTTTTGTGCACCTGTTGTGGGTTCTGTTTCCCCCCCCCAAAGCATATGACACAATAAATCTGTTAGTCTTTAAGGTGTCAGTTCTGCTATAACAGACTCAAAGGCATCTATCCACCATAACAATTAAATTGGTATAAATTAAAAAATTGTTTAGTGGCACCTTAGAGACCAACTAAGTTTGTTCTGGGTATAAGCTTTCGTGTGCATGCACACTTCTTCAGATACCAAATAAATTGGTAATTAAATTGGAAATACTGATATTTAACTGGATTTTGTGTTGATTTGTGACCTGCCTAAGTACTATGACACACCTACCGCTAATAGCTTGACTTTTTGGCCTCACTTTGTAAAATTAGTTTCTTCTTCTCTCAGGGTAGATCTATCTATCTACCAACCCATTTTGATTATCACTTTCTATTTCTGATGAAGTGGGCTCTGGGCCCATGAAACCTGACACTCCAATAAATCTGTTAGTCTTAAAGGCGCCACAAAACTCCTTTTTATTCATGTAGGCAACTGGTCAGCAATTTTCAGAATGGAAAACACACAAGCGCCAGCAAACGTTAAGCAAACAACTTCTAGCAGAGTAAAATAAAGATTGCAAGTGTTTGTGAAAGACTCACAAAGCAATACAGGGATGTAAACCCATCTAAAGATACCAATGGCCAATGCTAACATTAGAGTCCACAGAAGGAATACTTTGCTGCCTCCACTGCATCCTTACTGTGGTACCCAGCAGAATTTCCCCAGGTAATAGGGGACCTTTTGCAGTCTATTCCAAAGAAGAAGGGAGAGGCAACAGTTGGCTCACTGTGACCTGTTGGCAAAGCAACCTGAAGATAAAATTGCCTGCATCCACCAGGACCTTGACTCCAGTTGAATCATTTGGATCTCAAGTGTCTAGTCCTGTTGTGTTGGATGCATTTCAGTTAGTAAGGCTCAAGGAAGTGGACAAGCTGCTTGATTCAGTCCAGGTGATCTTCTGTGTTCTTGCCCCTTGCCCCTCAATGCTGATAAAGACTCAGTTACTGTTATGTACTGAAGTTCTCACCCTGGGCCAGCAGGGGGATACTGTAGATAGTTCAGGTCCACATATGCAAATCAGGGATCGAAAGTGACGTTCAGTGATTGGCTAGTTACAGAAAATGGTTACTGTTCCGTTCTAGTGGAGCTCTATATAAGCAGGCTGGCTGAACTCTTCAGTTTAGTTCTGTTCTGGCCTGTGAATAAACAAGAGCTGTTTGAAGAATCGCTGTGTCGTCTGATATGTTCACCCACAACTTAACAGTTACAATGCTTGTTAGGTTATTATGAGTTCTCATCAATTATACACACACACACACACATTCATATGTACACACACACACACACACACACACACTCCTATATATCTATATATATAGAGAGAGAGAGCAAGCTAGTATTCTCATTCCTTAGCACAGCTGAGCTTGACAACTACCCTAAGTAAGCAATTTTTGTAACCCTGGATTCCGTCCCATGGAGTAATTTTGCAAATGCGTTTTAGATGCAACTAAATATAAAACATTGCCTAGGTACGCCATTGCCTATATGGTCAGGATGCAGCTAAATATAAAGCAGCCTTTGGCTGTGTGATCATTGGCACAAATCCTTAGGCCCACAGCTCACTGGCTTCACAACAGAATACCTTAACTTGCCTCAGCAGCACTCTGCTCCAGCAGGCCACTTCACACCCGAGATGCAAAGAACTCTGCGGGAGTTGACCTACAGGGATTTCTCTACAAGTAGGGAGATTTTCACTGGTGTAATAATCGTATCTGCACTGTGATAGAAGTGGTGTCTGGACAGCATTGTATGTCTTTTGGTAAAAGGATTGTTCATCATGCAGTGAGTTCTGAGGGTCAGGCTGAGAGGCCACATTCAACCTCAAGGAACATCACCTGTGGTAATTGTTACGAGGCACTCAGTTTCTGATCCTTGTGGTTATAAGGCTAACCTGAAAAGTGTATTTGTTTCTCAAGCCAGAGGGAGAAGTCTGAGAGAGAAAAGGAAAAGGAAAAGGAAATACAGTGGTACCTCAGGTTACAGACGCTTCAGGTTACAGACTCCGCTAACCCAGAAATAGTACCTCGGGTTAAGAACTTTGCTTCAGGATGAGAAAGAGAAATTACACGGCGGCAGCGGGAGGCCCCATTAACTAAAGTGGTACCTCAGGTTAAGAACAGTTTCAGGTTAAGAACAGACCTCCGGAACGAATTAAATTCTTAACCCGAGGTACCACTGTAGCTAGAAATGAGAGCTGTACATAACCAGGAACTGCAGAGATTAGGAAGTTTCATGTCTCGATTAGCAATTATCTACATCTAGGTGCGTAGGCCTCTAGTCAAAACATACATTGGCCAGAGAAAGCAAATTTGTGAAATCAGAATGATATATACTAAGGAGGTTTATGCAGATTTCCACAAACATTCAAACAGAAAACATTTATTTACTTTTATTTTATGGTCGCAAAGTATTTCTTTCTTCAAAGCACAAGATGCTAGCCCTCCTGTACGGGGCAAACAGAGGCCTGCCACCTTCTTGTAGACATACAATCTTCAACATTACCTGCAAATGCCCCCACTACACAAAGGCATAGTAAAGATTGCTATCTGTTAGGAGAGTAGTGTTGAATTATTAGGTTATTTAATCAAAAGGAGAAGCCTTCCCTGGAGATCACTTTGCTTGCTTCGTTTCCATTTGTAATCTAATGAGAGTTGGAACGGCATTGCACTCGCCCACAGCTCTGCAAATAAATGAGCTGGACAAGAAGACTCCAGCTTTTTGCAAAACATTTCAAAATCCTCCCTGTCTCTCTCTCTCTCTCTCTCTCTCTCTCTCTCTCTCTCTCTCTCACACACACACACACACACACACAGGTTGTGCACTCCCAAAACTGGGGTCTGAATCCAAGCAGACAGAAGCCACACAATCCATCAGTTTTTTGTAATTTCTTGAGAAATGCTGCAGATTCATATGATTTCCTTGAAACCAGCTTCCATCCAATTTGAAAAGGTAAGGTGCAGATAAGCAGAGGTGTGTACATTTCAGGCATCCATTGCAAATCCACAGATGAAAGCTTAATCGAATAGGATATTTTGGGGGGGGGATACAGGTGAGGAAAACAAATCAGGTAGTGATGTGTACAGCAACGTAAGATGCAACTTGAAACACAGTCAGGAGTGTTAGGATAAGAGTAGTAAAGGTAAAAAGGTAAAGGACCCCTGGACAATTAAGTCCAGTCAAAGGCGACTATGGGGTTGCGGCGCTCATCTCGCTTCAGGCTGAGTAAGCCAGCGTTTGTCCACAGACAGCTTTCCAGGTTATGTGGCCAGCATGACTAAACCACTTATGGCACAATGGAACACTGTGACGGAAACCAGAGCGCATGGAAACACCGTTTACTTTCCTGCTGCAGCACTACCTATTAATCTACTTGCACTGGCATGCTTTCGAATAGAAGCTGGGACAGAGCAATGGGAGCTCACCCCATCAAGCGGATTCGAACCGCTGACATTCTGATCAGCAAGCCCAAGAGGCTCAGTTGTTTAGACCATAGCGCCACCTGCCTAGCACCCACCTAGCACAGCCTTAAGCACTGCCATAGCAGTCAGAGGTGACTGAAAATTGCTTGCAGGTGAGTCCATGGAATTCCATGCAGGCAGGGGTGGACTTTGGTCATCTTTTGAAATATTTGTGCCCTGTGCGAGGCCAAAGTTTGCACGCCCAAATGGATCTTCTCAATTTTGCGCCCCTGGGCTTGGTGCCCTGTGCGGGAAACTTCCTGCATCACCCTAAATCCGGTGTCGATGCACTCTAGCGGAGGGGAGATGAGGTACTCTGCCTGTCATCATCACCAAGTAAAACAACAACAACTACAATAGCAGCAGCAACAAGAAGGCTACTGCAGCTGAGACAGAGTTCTCCCCTCTTCTTCCACCAGCTCAGCAGACTGGTAACTTTTGTGGGTTTATTTACTAGGCTGATCTAACAACAGGTTTTGTAATTACAAAGTGCATGGGTTGAGGCTTTGCGTATAAAATCCAAACAGAGATTCTGAAATGGACATGGGACAGTTCAACCACCACCCCATTTTTGTATGAGTGAAACGGCAGGGAAGCATTTATCTTCACCTTGGTTAAAATTAGGTGGAAGGGGACACGGGTGGCGCTGTGGGTTAAACCACAGAGCCTAGGACTTGCCGATCAGAAAGTCGGCAGTTCGAATCCCCAAGACGGGGTGAGCTCCCGTTGCTCGGTCCCTGCTCCTGCCAACCTAGCAGTTCAAAAGCACAAAGTGCAAGTAGATAAATAGGTACTGCTCCAGCGGGAAGGTAAATGGTGTTTCCGTGCGCTGCTCTGGTTCGCCAGAAGTGGCTTAGTCATGCTGGCCACATGACCCGGAAGCTGTCTGCGGACAAACGCCGGCTCCCTCGGCCAATAAAGCGAGATGAGCACCGCAACCCCAGAGTCGGTCACGACTGGACCTAATGGTAAGGGGTCCTTTACCTTACCACAAGCCAAACGAAATTCCTTTGGGGTTGCGGATTTGATCCACAGACTACTGGATGACCATCCTCTTGAAAACAGAGTGAATAGATGTGGAGGCAATGAAGGAAAATATTTCACTCTCCACCAGGCTGAAACCCAATTTGAATATGGTTAACACTGTTTGCATCGGAAGCAATGCAAATGCCTTTTAAATATCGGGTAGCTACAAATAACCCATTTTTGTTACATAATCAAGTGCCAAGACTGCCAAGCTTTCATTGTGTACTCAGAGCTGAATATATTTACTTGGAGGAAAACCAGATTGATTTCATTTTCCGGCATATTTATTAATGCCTGAGCAAATGAATCTAGGGCACACCAAGTCAAGATCAATATTTATGTAGCCTACTTTAGGGAAAGAGAGATGCTTCTGAACAGCAGGGGGGTCTTAGCATTATGATTATTATTTTCCTGCGATTTTTCCCCTCTGTCTTGGATTTGGTTTCATGTGCACCATTTAAACTACTTAGGTACTCACTGTAAGCTAAAGAGAGCTCTGCTGCTGACACAGAGAAAATAGATGGGCGCTTGAACCACCAACTACTAAACCACTATTTCTTACTAGCAATATTCTATCCATTTAAGGTAAGTCGTTTCATCTGCAGTGGACTCCAGAAAAAACCTTGCATCAGGCTTATAATACTTGGTGGTTATTTCTAAAATAGCCTGAAACCACTCCAAGCTGTAGTGAGGGTGGCGCTGTGGTCTAAACCACTGACCCTTTTGGGCTTGCTGATCAGGAGGTCAGCAGTTCGAATCTGTGCAACGGAGTGAGCTCCCGTTGCTCTGTTGCAGCTCCTGCCAACCTAGCAGTTCAAAAGCAGGCCAGTGCAAGTAGATAAATAGGTACCGCTGCGGCAGGAAGGTAAACAGTGTTTCCGTGCGCTCTGGTTTCCATCACGGTGTCCCGTTGTGCCAGAAGCGGTTTAGTCCTGCTGGCCACATGACCAGGAAAGCTGTCTGTGAACAAATGCTGGCTCCTCCAACCTGAAAGTGAGATGAGCGCTGCAACCCCATAGTTGCCTTTGACTGGACTTAACCATGCAGGGGTCATTTGCAGATCCTAACATGCCCATTTCCAAGAATTTCCTGTACATTTGCCAAGATAGACTAGTTCCATTGGTTGCTTATTCCTTCCCCGCCCTGTCAAGAGTAAGACATCAACTTGTCCACTGCTTTAGCGTCACCCTTAAATCCCAGTACTGTAGTAGCTTTGTGAATGCAGATCAGACAGAGTTTGTAAATGAGGCCAGACTACAAGGTAGGTTAGTCATGTGTTTTGCTCTTGAGTGTAAGATTTTTATCTCACAGAAAATGGGCACAATGAAGATCAGGATCCTGGTGTAAGTGGGGAGGGTTTTAAGCCTCTCCCCGCCCCCACCCCAAGACAAATCAGGTCCCCACATCTGCTATTTGCACAGAGGGAGGGAAGCTCCCATTGGAGAAAATATGAATGTTTTTCCCATGCTATTTTTTATCTAGCTATTGTGCATTTGGCTACTAGACGAGGGGGCTCAGGAAGTTCCTTTCCTATTCTGTTTTATAATTCTTGTGCTAACCTATTTATTTACTTGAGAAACAAATGGAGAATATGAATATGAAATAAATGAAGAAATATATAAGCTCCCCTTTCAGCAGTGGTCTCTCACTAGACATTTCGTTTTCCAGAGGCAGAAAATCCAAATATTCACAAGGCTGCTGAAAAAGTAATGTGCGTAGCCTTTTTGAGTAAAATCAGTTCCAGAAAACTCTGATATCTTCAGATGAATTCCACTACTGTGGTGGTATAGCTGTATCTGGATCACGCCACTTCAGACTGATTGAATGCCCATCTTACAAAACAAAGAAACAAATCACAGCAGATAGAAAACTATATGTTAAGAGAGAAGGCTATGTTAGAATTCTCTCCCCTGATGCCTGGCATTCTGCAAGAATGAACTCCAACTCTGAGTAGCCTCTGCCAACATAGTCAATGTTCAGGGAGGATGTGAGTTGATATCTGACAACATGGGGGGTGGTGGCTACAGTTTCCTCATTACTTTTTTATATATAGACATTTCAAATGCTTTTCATTACCTAAGTTGCACAACAAACATAACCCATCAAAAATTGAACAGAAGAGAAAAAGGACATTACAAAATCTGGAGCGTGAGCCACCGGGCAAAATCAGAAACAAAAATACCAAGAGTCTCCTATACGCAGACCCTGCAGAAAATTTTCTAATAAATGCAGTATTTGAATTAATACAAAGAGAAAAGAAACATTTAACAAATCCATACATTGGAGCACACCCTAAGGACTTGCCTTCTGTTATCTGAAATACTTGCATAAGCAATAAAGCTCCACCAATCTCTTGCAAATGTGGCTCTGTGCTTATTTCCTCTAGCTATTATTTGTTTACATTTAACTTTCCCTGTTAGGGCTATCTGCCAAAACCTTTTACAGCATGCTGTTAAATTAGCTCCTTTAAGAACCTTCCAAAAAGGGGCAACGGTTATACACGCAGCTACCAGTGAGCATCATGTCAGAGGGGTCATCTATAAAGCCCATAAAAAGGTAAAAGTAAAGGACCCCTGACCGTTAAGTCCAGTTGCGAACGACTCTGGGGTTGCGGCGCTCATCTCGCTTTACTGGCCGAGGGAGCTGACATTTGTCTGCAGACAGTTTTTCCAGGTCATGTGGCCAGCATGACTAAGCTGCTTCTGGCAAAACCAGAGCAGCGCATGGAAACGCCGTTTACCTTCCCACCGGAGCGGTACCTATTTATCTACTTGCACTTTGACGTGCTTTCGGACTGCTAGGTAGGCAGAAGCTGGGACGAGCAACGGGAGCTCACTCCGTCGTGGGGAATCAAACCGCTGACCTTCCAATCGGCAAGCCCAGAGGCTCAGTGGTTTACACCACAGCGTCACCCACATCAAGCCCATACAGATGACAAATCTGTAAACAGTTTCCCCATTCCACTGGTACACCAGCGACAGTGGGATCCGCGTATATATATGTTTGTGATGGCAGTGGTATCCTCTTGGAGCTGCAACCATTGCTCACCAGGACAGGATGGGTGGGACTAGGCAGCAGTGAGGTCAGGGATGCTCCAGGCTGATGATGGCCTCAAAGCTGTGTGCACACCTGTGGTACAGCAAAGGCAAAAGCCCCCCTGAGCTTGCCACTGCCATAATAGGGTGACACTATTGTTCCAACCCGCTCACAGACCCTCCAAGTGTCACAATTTTCCAGGGACAGCTCTGGATTTACAGAAACCGTCCCAGTTTCTGATTTGATCCTGGAATGTCCTCCTTTTCCCTAGGGCATCCCTATTTTCATCAGAGAAATGTTGGAGGCTATGGAGTTATGCGACTTCCTGAGGCAAGGAGATAAGTAACTATACAACCTTTAGAAGACACCTGAAGGCTGCCACTGTATAGGGAGGTTTTTGAAATTTTTAATGTTTTGCTATGTTTTCATATACAGTGGTACCTCAGATTACATACGCTTCAGGTTACAGACTCTGCTAACCCAGAAATAGTACCTCAGGTTAAGAACTTTGGTTCTTTTTAACTTATTTATCAGTGATATGAGGAACCCATTAATCGACTCACAAAAATTTATCCACTCCCCCCGTATAGCAGATTATCGTTGTCCTTTACTTCTCTACGCAGATGATGCGGTACTACTCTCTTACTCCAGAGTGGGTTTAAGGAGGGCACTAAAGATTTTTGCATCATATTGCCATTCTAATCATCTGTCTATCAACCACACCAAGTCCAAAGTACTGATATTTTCAAGGAGTCGAAAATTATATTCATGGAAATTGGAGGGCAAGAAAATCGAACAAGTACATAAATTTAAATATTTAGGAATTTATTTTCAATATAATTTAGGGTGGAAAGCGCACGTTGAATATCTTCAAAACAAGACAAAGCCCTATCACACTCCCTCCTTCGTTTTTTCTACTCTGAGGGGGCCTTATTCATCCCTGCGGCCTTGAAAGTGTATAGCATCAAAGTGATGGCCACAATGGCCTATGCTGCACCTTTATGGGCTGCCTTTGCAAACCTCTCACCTTTAGAGTCGCTTCAAAGCCAATTCTTACGCCGACTTTTAAAACTACCAACATGCGTAAGTAATGCGGCTATTCGCTTAGAAATGAAGATCCCCTCAGTGGAGTTAGTTTTATGGAGGAGAGTTTTGATTTATTGGATATCCCTATGGCATAATCTACCGAACCACTATCTCATTCAATACATGTGGCGGGATGACTTCACAAATTTGTGGTCAGGAAAAATCCATGCCAAATTGCTGTCCTATGAGATCTCGCCCACGGAATTGCTCAAACTGGATCTAAACGCGGCAAAAAGGTGTATAAATCAAAGGCTGGATGATGTGGAGCTATACCAAAATTTCTTAGCTGGTGGTGGAGCCTGCTCGCCATTAAATCTCGGCATAACCCCTATCTATCGTGCTCCGTCCTACTTAACATCGCTTATAGCCGCGTCACACCGATATGCCTTCATTAGAGCCAGGTTCAATGTTTTTCCAACAAACGTCCTGAGACATAGATTCACTAAGGGCCAAGTCCCTTCAATGTGTGCTTGTGAAATGAAAACATCTGAATCTTTACATCATGTTATGTTTATCTGCCCTATGTACAGTTCAGCTCGTGCTAGTATACTAAACTCCATAATCCAGCCTATGGCTGACAAACCAGTAGACCTACAGCTTGCCTGGGTTCTTCAAGATGTAGATCCTCATATTACTCTACAGGTTGCTAAATTCCTAACAGCCGTTCTCTCGTACAAGAGACGGAATGGAATGTTAGCTGATTATTGATAGTTATAAGAATTTTTGATATTGACATCAGATATTGATTTTAGTGTAGTGCCTAAATTTTTAACTTTAATCTTAAATTTCTGTTTTGATTTGCCAATATTTGTCCTTGTGAGCTGTGAATTGTGTTATATTACTTGTGGCTTGTACGAGACCGCTGTTTTACTTGATTTGTTTTGTGTGTTGTGTTTTATGATGGGCGTAAAGCCGAATAAACATTTTGATTTGATGAGAACAGAGATCGTGCTCTGATGGCCCAGGCGGCAGTGGGAGGCCCCATTAGCTAAAGTGGGACCTCAGGTTAAGAACAGTTTCAGTTTAAGAATGTACCTCTGGAATGAATTAAGTACTTAACCTAAGGTACCACTGTATGATGGAAACTGCCCAGAGTGTCTGGGGCAACCCAGTCAGAGGGGTGGGGTATAAATAATAAAATTATTATTACAGTGGTACCTCGGGTTAAGTACTTAATTCGTTCCGGAGGTCTGTCCTTAACCTGAAACAGTACTTAACCTGAAGCACCACTTTAGCTAATGGGGCCTCCCTCTGCCACGCGATTTCTGTTCTCATTCTGAAGCAAAGTTCTTAACCCCAGGTGCTATTTCTGGGTTAACGGAGTCTGTAACCTGAAGCATCTGTAACCTGAGGTACCACTTCATCCTGAAGCAAAGTTCTTAACCTGAGGTATTATTTCTGGGTTACCTGAGGTATTATTTCTGGGTTAGCGTATGTAACCTGAAGCGTATGTAAGCCGAGGTACCACTGTATTAGGAATGGGACACCCCCATTTTCACTGGAGAAATGTTGGAGGGTATGCACCGCAAAGAGGAGGCAAACCTTTCTGGGTATTGAATTCAGTGCCTCGTGTCGTTTTCCTTAATTCATGTGAGGGCAGTTTAATGCAACGACAGGAACAGGTAGGATCAATGAGACTAGAAGGCCTGCACAATATTTCAACACTTTGCCAACACTGTCAAAAGAGCTTCAAGCAACCACAGCCCCTTATCTAACAAAGCTGAGAAGAGGGTGAAGACTTCCCGAGGGAAAGCCGGGAGGGGAAGCTGAATCGAGTTGAATGAATTATTGTTCTTAGGTGAGTCAACGGCAGTTTCATCAGAGGCTTAATTCCTCCCAGATATTAGCAATCCGGAATTAAACCGATCTGAGTAATAACAAAAGAATTTGGTTCAGATCCAAATGCCTTTCCCCTCTGAGTCGCTCAAGTTTCCTTTAATATTAATTCTGTAACTGCGGGAAGGGAAATTGTTGGAATTCAATATGGTCCCCTTCTTAGTTGACCACTGGCTCTCCTGCACAGAGGTGGGTGGCAACCTTGGAAAATAGTGAACAGGCTTGAACCAGAAGCATCCTTCCTCCTCCCCCAGCAGTGTCAGCACAGCAGCAAACTTATGAAGAGCCTGGGAAGATCTCAGAGCGGCAAAACTAGTGGACTCTCTAGGATATTCCAGCTGTTTCACGATCCTTTGCTGCAACAATTAACACCTTTTCCGAAGAGAGTGTGTGACTTCCAGAAGGAAGAGTGGTAATCCCACCTTGTTTTCCCTCCTTGCAGAACTTCCTGCAGCTGTTCTTTGCTCTTGCAGATTGCACCCATTATATTTTGTTTAATGCTGTGTGTTATGATTGGTAGGTTTCTTCGTGTAGTGGTATTATTTATTTATATTTATACCCCACCCATCTGGCTGAGTTTCCCCAGCCACTCTGGGCGGCTTCCAATCGAGTGTTAAGAACAATACAGCATTAAATATTAAAAACTTCCCTAAACAGGGCTGCCTTCAGATGTCTTTTAAAGATACGATAGCTGCTTATTTCCTTGACATCCGATGGGAGGGCGTTCCACAGGGTGGACGCCACTACTCAGAAGGCCCTCTGCCTGGTTCCCTGTAACCTCACTTCTCACAATGAGGGAACCACCAGAAGGCCCTCGGCGCTGGATCTCAGTGTCCGGTCTGAACGATGGGGGTGGAGACGCTCCTTCAGGTATACAGAATGATACCAAATTGTATGGAAAACAGCCCTACCAGAAAAATTAACCAATAAACTGAAACTGACACGGGGACAAATAGAAGAAGACACCTTCACCCCGTTACGGCTCCCCTTTATCACATACACAGCCCAACAAGACAACGACAAAAATCCACCAACAGCATACAAATCAGTATGGCTAACCTGACCCAAAACGCACACACACCCCACTCACACATGAAAACAAAGACCACCACAGCCAACCACAAATGAATTACCACACCCTAGGCCAACCCCAACCTCTCTCACCACCAAAGGAACACAAGTGAACAGCAAAGAACCTGCACAAGTAACGCTGACACCAAACCCTACATGAAGTAAGTAAAATAGAAACATTGCCACCCAACTCCCCATCTCCCCCCCACCTCTTTCCCCCTTTTCTTCCTAATGTCTCAACAAAATAAACTGATTTGTAAAAATGTTACATGGGGGGAAAAATATGAAAGAGAGACATTGCACAAACTTTTGTAAATCAAGAAAATCTTTAATTAAAAATATAATAATCATAGAGTTCGAAGGGACCCCCAAGGGTAATCTAGGCCAACCCCCTGCAATGCAGGAATCTTAGCAATAGCCTCCATGACAGATGGCTGTGTTAATAGTTGTGAAACAATTTGTTAGACCCCGCCCCATAGTTCCAGTGATGTTGTTCTTTTTGGTGTCCCCACCAAAGATCTCTCACCTGTGGCTCCTAGAAGCTGTCAGCATGCGACAGCAACCACACCCAGGAAATGGCTGGCTAAATTAGGTGAGAGTAGCTGTGGCGTTTGCCCGTTTGTTTGAAAATGTCTGTACAGGGGGAGAGAAAGAGTTAATAGGTAGACCAATAGAAAAGCCAGAGGCGGAGCCTACCTGTTTATAAAAGGGCTTAGCCTGAGGTTTGGGTTGGTTGCTTGGTTGGGAAAGGCAGTTGGGAAAGCAGTTGGCAGACAGATGGAAATAGAGAGACAGTTAGTGCAGTTGGTTCTTGTGTGAGGGGAGGTGGAAGAGTTAGAGACAGGATAAAATAAGACTAAGAAGGTAAAGAGTAACATCATTTTGAATGCAGTTAAAGTTTATTTGTGTCTGCAATAAACTACACTCTTCGTTGTTAACTTAAGAACCTGACTGAGACTAAGTGATTTACCAGGGAGGAGTTGGTTGGTGGCAGCGGATTAGTGGTGTACGGTCAATAGTCCGTGAGACGACCGGGGGCTCCGTACGAACGCCACAGTAGCTGACAGGTCTCAAACACTGAGTTTGGGACTTTGTCTACATGCAAAGACAGACCCCAGCAGACTGAGCAGACAAGACCAGCAGTGGGTCCAATGATCAAGAAGGCTATTTCGGCACATGCTGTAGAGGAAAGCGTGGGGCAGATGGGACTCATCAGTCTGGGAGGGTAGCTTATCTAGGATAAGGAAAACTCTGATCCTCAACTTCTGCTGCCTTGTGGAATATCTTTGGGAGAAGAAAAGGCTAAGAAGTAAACCCTGTACAAATCTGGAGTGGAATCCCTAAGAAGGTTGGATGGCGCCTTATATGCCTCCTTCGGGCATCTCCTGCAGCAAAGGTGGTACCAAATGTACTGCTCTCATGAGCGTAGCCAAGGGGGGTAGGGGGTAGCTGTCCCTCCTCCTAGATCAAGTAAAACAATAGAAATACTAAACTAATTGACCAATCACACCCGTGTTTTGTTAGCCCCAAAACGGAAAACGAGCAAGGTCCCAACTAAAGAAGAATGGCAACTTAAGTTGATGGAATATGCACAACTCGCAGACTTAACATATAGAATAAGAGAACAAGAAGAACATACGTTCAGAGAAGATTGGAAAACGTTTATTGAATATATGGGAAATAATTGTGTACAGTGGTACCTCGGGTTAAGTACTTAATTTGTTCTGGAGGTCCGTTCTTAACCTGAAACTGTTCTTAACCTGAAGCACCACTTTAGCTAATGGGGCCTCCCGCCACCGCTGCACGATTTCTGTTCTCATCCTGAAGCAAAGTTCTTAACCCGAGGTACTATTTCTGGGTTAGCGGAGACTGTAACCTGAAGCGTATGTAACCTGAAGCGTATGTAACCCGAGGTACCACTGTACAGCTGAAAATGCTGGCAGCATTAAGATGAATTCAACAGTGTAAGCAAGTTTTGATGGATGCAGTAATGGAATACTGAATGGTATACTTTTTGTAAAATATGCAGGGATTTATGATATGCAAAATGAACCATGGAAAGAGAAGAAGGAAAGGCATTGCTATCTTAAGGATGTAAAATGAGTATTGTTCTGCTTTCTTTGGACCACATCAGCGAGTCTGGGCAGTCCAGGACCTCCATACGCATCAGTCTTAACGCCCCAGGGAGGTAACTTTGGTGTAGCTGTTTGGCTTCACCCCCCAGAAGCACACCCCATTGTCTCTTGAGACAGACGGATAGCAGCAACAATAACAGCAATTCTCATTGGGGGTCTTCTTTTACGTACAATAATTTGTTAGTAGGAAGGTATTGATTTTAGGATCAAACTCCTAATTACATATGACTCCGAATTTTCATCTGGTAGCCCAAGGGTAGCCAATGTGGTACCCTAGAGATATTTTGGACTCCAACTCCCATCAACCCCAGACAGCATGGTCAATACGGCAGGGTGATGGGAGTCGTAGTCCCGGACACCAGGAGAGCACCGCTTTGACTATACCTGCAATAAACCACTCAGCTCCGCCCACCTTTCTGGCGCAAACACAAAGGCACAGCACAATTTCGGTTGGATGTAAATGTGCACTCGATAAAGGCCATAGTGCTTATAGGCGTGAGTCCACAGGGACCGATGCAAAGGGTTGAGTTATTAATCATTCTTGTGAAAGTGAAATTAAACACAAGGACTATGTGGCAGAAAATTCAGCGCACGGTTCATTTTTTTTGCTTTGCAAATATGTAACTAGGAAATAACAAGCCTGTCACAGTTATGTTGACAAAGAGCTTTCCATTACAGAATAACCCGAGGACTGGCTCATTTCTGTTTGAAATAGATTATATAATGCTTCTCATTAGATACTGAAAATGTTAGGGCTCCGAGTATAATTACAGTACATAGCTCAGGTCAGCAATAGAAGATATGGCATTGTACAACCTATATGCCATGGGAAATAGCGATGCAATGTCACACAGAGGTCTTTCATTTACCTGGTGACACTATCGTAGGTGAAAGTCAAAACATGCCTTTATATAGTACCCATATTTCCATCTCAATTATGTGATTGAAAACACGGCTGCTAGGCAGATGAAGGTGATTGACTATATGGAACTGGCGGAAATGACTGGCAGAATCCGAGACCAGGGAGAAGAGTCGGTGGAAGAAGATTGGAAGAAATTTAAAGACTACAGAAATATTGTAAAATTAATGAATGTTAGAATAATGTTGGATAGAAATTAAGTGGTTTTTAGCTGAAATACTATAAGGGAATATGAAAAATGGATTACTAACAGGTAAAAATTTAATGTTACAATACTTTAAGATTAAAGATTAGGATAAACAAAGAGGGGAAGGATTTGCTGAACCAACAAACTGAACTGGAATACAAAAAAGGGAGGCGTGAGGAGGTCCGGGAAACAAGCTAATGAAAAATAAGTAATGGAAAGATTGAGTTGTTTTTAACTATTTTTATTTTGTATTTTTCTTTTTTCTATTTTTATTTTGTAATATTTTGAAAACCTTAATAAATATCTTATAAAAAAAAAGAAAACAAGGCTGCTAAATTATATTTAATATATAATCTGCAATGTGTTAATTTGGTTACTAACAGCTTACTGCCTCCACTGTTAGAAGAAATATATTTCTGGGAACCACAGGACTGAAAAATGGGACTCTGTTTTCCCATACATATGAATAAAATAAAATAAACTGTAGCAGTCCCGAAGAGGTCTGGGCAGCTGCAGTACAGTGGTACCTCGGGTTACAGGCGCTTCAGGTTACAGACTCTGCTAACCCAGAAATAGTACCTCGGGTTAAGAACTTTGCTTCAGGATGAGAACAGAAATCGTGCCCTGGCGGCGTGGCGGCAGCAGAAGGCCCCATTAGCTAAAGTGATGCTTCAGGTTAAGAACAGTTTCAGGTTAAGAACGGACCTCCGGAACGAATTAAGTACTTAACCCGAGGTACCACTGTACCTTCTAATGTTGAAGAGCGAACAACTGTAGCATGAAATCAGATTCCTAAACCCCAAATTATTTTATTTCTAATTTCAATATTGATATACCTCTGAACACTGAGAAGTGCTGCTTATAGGTAAGATTTAAAAACCACAAAACACAAAACAGAAACCAGAATAAAACAAGCTCCAGGAGTCTAGGCCAAGGTCTTTATTACTTCTGCTGCAGCTAAAGCCATTACCAAGAATATAGCGGCTGTGGCAAAATCTGAAAATGCTCCTGGAAGATGAATTTCATGCAGTAAAATCTGTGCAACTACCACCAGTTGGCAGGGTTAGAAATCGTGTCGATCCCAAAGGCCTAATAATTTAAAAATATATTAAGTGGAGGGGGAGGGAAGGGAGGTTAGCACGAAAACGCAAGAGAGTTAAACACCCACACACCCAAAACTAAAAAAAGGAAAGAATCTCAGTGGGTGTTAAGATCACCCAGGGCGGAGGAAGGGGGGTTCAGTGGAGGTGGGTTGCCCCGGGTGTCACCACTGAGGAGGGTGACAAAATGCCAGGGGGCACTCATCGCGGGGCCTGCAGTGTGCCCGAGCCATGCATCTCTCCTGGGTGGCTTGGGCGTACTGAGTGGGAGGAGGCAGGCAGACTCCAGAGGCCCCGCGGCGCGCCCCGAGATCCTCTGCCGCTGAGATCACCTCTTGTATTTTTTTGATCAATATAGGAGGGCACTGTCTGTTGATACCAGATTGTAAAAGAAGCAAATGAGGAAATTCGTCCCTGAAGGAGCCCATGAAACCAAAGCGGCAAAAATGTTGCATTGATTTAAATAAGCTTTACCCCCAGAGCTTTGCAAACTGTGTGTCATGACATGTTAGCGTGTTGGCTGCAGTGTGTAGCTGCATCGCACAAATGCTCTCCATGCTCCTCCCAGGGCTGGGAAGGGGTTCTTTTAACCTCTGGTTTGCTACTAAAACTGAATTACTGTGTTGCAAAATGATGCATGTCCAAAAAATTTGCCACCAACATGAAAGGTCTGGAAAATTCTGCTTTACCTTATTCTCTTTTCAGATTCCCTCTTCTTCCTCGCCCCAAATTATATTTGGACAGGTCTACCTTCCTTTCACTTTTTAACCCCGTTTGTTTCCTGTTGCTCCCAATGCTTTGCCTTAAATGCCACTCATTTCACCCCTAAAAAGGTGGAATTCCTTTTAAAAAATGCATCATTATGATACTTTGTTTTAAAATGTTACGCAATACTTACCACAGTTCTGATAATTCAGTGCTGGAGCAGTGTTCAAATCCGAAAATAAAGATAGTGCTTACATAGATCACGGGGCAAGAATCTGAAAAGCCCAAGGGTTGCAATGACCCAGTTCGTACATTTAGTGCAAAGTGAGCAAAAATGCCAGGTTCCTGGAGCAAAAATTGCAATCCAAAGTGTTATTTTGGCTCCATGTTGCATCCAAACCAGGCTCATGGTTTGTCTTGCTCTGTGCAAACCACAAGCTGTAACCCAGGTTTGTTTTTGGCAAGACAAACCATGAGCCCACGTTTGGACGCAATGCTAAGCAAACAACTTGGTTTGCTTGGTTAGTCTTGGTTAGTGCTGCAGCAACAGGACTAGGAGAAGACAGCTGTGATCTTCGCTACAGGAGCCATTCACACATGGCTTGGCTTAGCAGTACATGCAAACTGCGACATTGCTCCATGGACCACCTAGTGAAGGACACCTGTCAATAGTGGGCGGGGCCAGAGGCAAGAGTGGGTGGAGCAACAGGTATGACTCTTCCCTTTGTACTGTAGGCTATATTCCAGCCACACAAGAGTTAGAGTGTTTTACATATACAAAACATACACCTCTATGTATCATGGTAGACACGTTCCAGTCAACCAAAAGCACTCCAGGGACCTAGCGGGTTGTATAATGGTACCTTGGTTTTCAAACTTAATCCGTTCCAGAAGTCTGTTGCAAAATCAAGGCACGTTTTCCCATAGAAAGTAATGCAAAATGGATTA